TGTATCATTTTGGAGCCTGGTATAGTCCAGTTTTTCATGCCTGAGACACTTTCTTGGTTGTCTGCCACTGTGATGTTGACCGGATTCTGTTCAGGGAGGTTGCTGTGGTCCTCTCTCAGCGCTACCAGCCAATGGGCCTCCCTGTTGTTTGCTGCCTCCTTCTCCCATATGCCTTTCCAGTACTGTTCAGTTTCCAGCCTTGGTGGGGTTGTTCTACTATTGTTCCCCTGCCTCTTGGGAACTTGCTTTTTCATATTATTTCATATTTCATCACATGGTTGTTCTTATAGCCAAGCATCTCTAGGATCACTGCTATATTAGCTGATTGGAGCTCATTGATGTCAGTGATGGTCAATTTAGGAATTGCTTGCAGAGCTGAATTCACGTATATATATATATATATATATATATATATATATATATATATATATATATATATATATATATATATATATATATAAACTCACTGTGAGGTTGAATCACACACTCCATGGAAGAATTAAAATATCAAGAATTTGGCAGAAAAATAAAGGTTAATATTGGATTTTGTCGCTAAAGGAATCACTGAGAACGATTATAACACTGTAGATAATAATTAATTGATTCATTAAGTAAAAAGTAGGAGGGGAAATTTATATGGGAATTTAGAAATAAGACTCTGATTATATTTTAGCAGATTAAAATATAAACTTTATGGAATAGTCTTTCTCTAGTTACTACATCGCATTTGAGTATAGGCAGGTCCTAATGCCAAAAAACATCCTAATCTTAGTATCATGGGCCCAAACAACCCAGCTAAACAGCTAAACCATAAATGACATTGAAAAAATGTCTTTCAATATGAGTGCTAAAAGGGTCTGAAGAATGTTCCATACGAGGTTTTATTTTTGTTCATTAAATGGTTTGGGAGAGGTGTGTATTTTAAAATAGTTGTTCAGCCACTATCTCCTCTTATTAATCCTGGCTTAATCTACTGTACGATGTTATGCCAAACAAATGCCTATAACTTTGGCATAAAAAGTCGTATTGATGTCATTCTTACACCTTTTTCTTCACGACGGATAGGGGAAGGAAGCTTTAGGGCTGTTTTTGTCCAAAATCTTTTTGAAAAGACAGAACTTGGAAATTGGCAAAATTTCTGAGTTTAAAAAATGCGTAAACGTTTGTCGAACTATGTTTAATATATACAAAAACATAATGGATATAGAAATAATTTTGGGCAAATGTTGTCCAGTCTTTGGTAGCTAAGTTATTCTTTTAGCTAGAATGATCTCTGGTGCTGTGTGCCCAGGCAGGTTACTCCGCAGCTCGAAGGCTGTTCAGTGTTTGCCCGTTTCTTTGAGTCCTGGTCCTACTTAGAAAACAAGCCCTCTTTCATTTTTTAACCCTAAACTATCTAGATAAGAGATAGTAGAGACTGCACACTGATGATGCTAAACTTGAAATAAATACACAACAAAAGAAACCCTACAGGAGAGAGAGGTGTTAATAAGTGATATTGTTCCCCATGAAAGGTTTAATTCACCCATTAAGTTAGCTGTTAAAAAACATATTCAGATTGTCCTTTTTTTCAAGCAGGGATAATTATAGTATAATCTTGCATAAATATTTTAATAGAATTGGCTAAAAAAGTTTGAATTTCCTGTAAATTTGTGATATATATATATTTTTTGTTTAAATTATTAAATTTAAACAAACTTTAAATTCTAATGAGTTGTACAAAGTCAAATAACTGCCCAGAATTATGCAAAATGCTTATTATTCTTACAATCTGTTAAACAAACATTTACCTAATATTAGCATGTGTTGGTATTGATGTTATTTTTTGCACAAATTATGACTCTGAATCTGGTGGTTTTTAATTTCCTGCTTTTTATTATGAGTTTATGAGATTTTCTGTCTAGTATATAGTGTAATTTGGCTCCATCGTTATCTCTATACTTTCTCCACTGTTTCTGCTCGCTGCACATTTTCATGTAGTTAACAACCTTCCTTGCAAAATCGTACTAGATCCTCCAGCTTATGGTCACATCCTCTGCTGTTATCAATCTGCCGCCTACTTTTTCTCTGGGTTCTTTTGTAACTACCCTGTTGCTGTCCATTGTCTTTTCCTTTTTGATGAGAAGCCATGATTGATCATCCTGTTCCCATCCTCATCTTTTCCTTCGGATCCTCTTTAAAACCAAATTAAGGCGTTGTGTAGATTAGAAAAGAATAACATTCTATCCAATCTTGCACAACCAGTTGTTGTGTTTAAAGCTCACTGAAGAATAAGATTGACTTATTATCAAAAAAATAAAATAAATCAATCTTATTGTTGTGGCTTCTCCAAAGGCCTTGTAGCTGGAGTATATTTAGTTTTTTATTCACCACTTCTTTATTTCTTATTTCATAGCTGTCTGACAACAAAAGCCAATGGTACATTGTGTCTCTACCTTAAAGCCTCTGGTCAATTAACTCACCTTATACAAACTGACATTTGCATAACTTTTTTTTAAAGGTTATTTTCTAATACACCAAAGAAAAAAAAAACACAAATACTTGTTATTTTCCCCTCTTTTGAAAATTCAATCATGTAATTGATTGAATTCCCAATGAAAATTAGTTTGCTATTGATTTGCCATGTGTCTGTGGAGCAGTTGATCAGTGATGTTTGCTCTGTTTCCTCAGGTGATATTGCATCCACTCAGACCACGGATGACTGCAGCGCAGGGTGGTGTATGGGTGGCTGTTATCTGGATAATGGCCAGCTGCTTTTCCCTTCCACATGCAATCTACCAAAAACTTCTGACTTTCACCTACAGGTACATTTCTGGGCACTGACATGGATGGTCATACTTAATAAGATCAGGAACAAACATGTGATTCCTGTTTCAACCCTAAGAGACAAGTGTCACACTTGATTTGACAGCTTCAAAGTAAACAAGCAATTTGCTTTTGCATTTAAAGATTGGCTTGTTTTTTCCCTTTAACTAGATTAGGTCAAAACACTGACATGAATTTCAAAAGGCAGAGGTTTAAAAAGGGCATTCGCTGTCTAAATGAATCAGGTGATGAAGGAGGTGTATAAATTACAAAAAAAAAAAAAATAACATTGGAAAAGTATACATACCTAAACAGCGGTAACTTTGGTTCACCAGCTTTTAGAGCAATATTTAGAGTAAAATGTAGTGTTTTAAACAACTTTGTCACACCTCTGGAGAAATAAAATAAATAAGTGTGCAGTCCTGTGACTTCTCACCCTTCTCACTCTGCTGCACTGGCAATCAGGTGTGGGCGGTTACACCAATTACCAGGAATTGCTGCACCTTGAAGGAGCACTATATATTCTTAGCTCTAAAATAAGGTAACTGCCAGATTCCTGCAAGCTATTCATGTGGGTAGACTAGGCAGCAATCCTTGTTTTGACCTTCTGATCTCAACCGTCTTATTCCTGTTTTTTCCTGTCTGCTTTGCCCCTTTATGATACTCCTGTCGACTTCTGATCTCAGGACATCAGCCTTGTCTTGATTTATAACCACATGCTTTTGCCTTTGCCCTTGACAAGTTTTTTTCTCACAATCCTGTATGACCCTAGCCTGGACTTTGGATCTGCCTCATGCATATGTCTCTCTGGAGACCTCTGCCTAGTTAGTATTACTGATTCTCTCACCTGGATTCTCACACCTCTCGTCTAGCCATTCTGGGAGCCTCTGCCCTGTGGACTTCTTCCCTGTGGATGACCCTTAGACTCACTACGATTTCCCTGCTAGTACCATAAGATTTTCATTCAGTGAATCAAATCATCCAAACTGAGCCACTGGGATCAATCATTCCAGTTCCAGTCAGTTCTTGGCCCGCAATACAAATTTACTTTTGCACAAAATCTTGAACGATTTTAGTACTGAGATTAATTATAGGGTCTCCAGATCCCATCTAGGCAATACAAAACTATAAACGCAGTGTAACTACAGCTCCCAGTATGCCTTGCAGCATTCCATTTGTTGGGAACACATGGAATGCCTGCCCAACACATTCTACAGAGTTTCCCGATTTGTCTCCCCAGTCAGCTGTCGATCGAAACCGTCTCTGTTATTGGACAAACTGGAAAGTCCTGTGATAAAATAATTGCCATTATGACTTTGTCAAGCTGCTGCCTACCTTTGTGAAGCAGGAGAAGGACTAATACAAAGTGAATCCAGTAGAACTTTTTATTGCCTACCTGGAATGGTTGACAATAGTTGAATAAACTTTTAGCTCTCAAAAAGGTAGTGGTGCCGTATTTGCTGGTACTCGCCAATACCAATACTACCATTTTAGTGCTGGATTGGGGCCCCGCCCGATACTGGTATCAGGATCGGTGCAACACTAGTAACAAAGTACATTTACTTGATTACTGTACTTGCTTGATTGTATACAGACATTTCCTGTGGTTTTGGTTAAGGTTTGATAACTACAAATTTTATTAACAAATAAATTATAAAAATGTACCAATGGTTAATTGAATCCAAGGTCCACAACTGGTTTAAATATCTAAATTTACTGTTAATTAAGTTAATAGTTAATAATCCACATGGTTCATTCTAATTTTTAAAGGCTGTTAGCCATTAATTTTTAAATAGCCCAACTGATCATTACTTGACTATTTTGGAGTAATCACAGACTTTGCATTATGCAATAAACCAAAAGAGTTTGTTCTTATGCAATAGCTCACTACCAATCTTCCACATTTTAACCCAGACACACAAATATATAAGTAAGATACATTAAGTTATAATGTTAAATGGACTAAGAGTGATTTTGTTGTTTTACTGACCATTCAAAGCTTCTCATTCACCCATTCAAGCTCACAAACACATCAGTATACCTGTACACAGATCAATGGCAATGATTATGTGCCTTGCCCAGGGGCACATCAACAAATGGTTGGCAGAAGCTGGAATTAAACCTATACTTCACAGATTGCATGATGACTACTGGTAAATTAATCAAAGCTCATATAAGTGACTAGATCTGACATTTTCATTTACTATGAACAACACAGAAGTGGAGGCAAGGAAAACAACAGTATTTTTTTTTTAAATGTATTAAAGCTTTTTAGCCAGTTTTAGTCATTAAAGAGCATGTCTATCTCAAGGGTCAAGTGTGACTTTAAAGTGGCAATGAACAACATTTTTAGGTGGGCTGTTGAGCAATGTCAGTGTAACCCCCCTTCACATCTGTATTTTTTTTTTTTTTGTATTAAAAATACTGAATCATTGCACAATGCTGCTTTAAACAAAGCTTGTATCTATCCAGATTAATTTTGTCCAGTTTGTTACCATGGTAAGATCTAGTGTCAAAGCACCACATTTATTCTAGCTCTACACCAACTGATATCCATGTTAAATCTTTTAAAACCCCCCAAAAATAAATCTGACCTTTTTCTCATACAATTCACATTCTGACCTTTTGATAGAATGGGTATAAGATTACCCAGTTGCTTGCTTTGATTGGATATAAGTAAACTTTATTCTCATTTTTTTCATGTAACCTACAGTTAGTTAGTAATTGCTGTATGTAAAAGACTGAAGAGGTCATCTTATAAAAGCAGTGGTGATATTAAATGGGTTGTTAGCTTTCCCTAAAAGGAGGTTTAAAGAGCATTCTGATAAACAATGAAAGGGTTTTTATACAGATTTATAGATATTCCTGATATCAATAGTTAGGTATTTGTTTAATCTGCCATTTAAAAAAAAATCTTAAAATACTACTACAGACAATTTTTTACTTAGTTTTACACACATCTCATAAAATGGCCTACAGTGTATTGTAAATCACTGCTAATTATCAATCTATTTAAAAGATTAGGATGATGATCACCTAGGTTTATAATTTTTGTAGACTCTTATCTAATACTCAGTGTTCAGTCTTCTGTAGGGGTGAATTAAATTCCTACAATATGTGGCCTATATGCCTATCGCATATAGGATCTCTAAAGATCTATCCGATTGTTAGAAAACCCAAGCCTTCTTCTAGCGATTCCACTGATGCTCCTTGGGGTTGAGACTTAGCAGTTGCATCGGATAGAGACAGGCTGTTAGATTTGAGTGGATTACACAATTTCAGGGCATTTTACTGACCAAAAAGATTGCAAATGGCAGTATTGTAAATTCAGTCCTTGTACAACATCTTAACTATATTTCCCTAGAGGTTTTAAATAAGCATCTGTGTGGCAAGGTAGACAACAGAGAGCTGGGTGAAAGTCCTGTGTCCTGACCAACTCTCCTTCTGTCCCCAAACAGCCAGGAAATGGAGCGCAGCCTGTGTGTCCCAGATTTCCCTGAGCCATCAGATGTCTACTGGCAGTACATTGATCTACTGACCTTCATCCTGCTTTACATGCTGCCACTCCTTATCATCACAGCCTCCTACACCACAGTAGCTCGCCGGCTGTGGCGCCACAACGCCATCGGCGACACAACAACAGCTCAGCACGCCACCCAGAGAAGGAAGCGCCGGAGAACATTAGCCATGCTGCTTTTGGTGGTTGGTGTATTTGCTATATGCTGGTTTCCACTCAACTGCTATGTGGTGCTGCTATCCAGCCAAGCCATCCACTCCTCCAACGCTCTCTACTTCTGCTTTCACTGGCTTGCAATGAGCTCCACCTGCTATAACCCCTTCATCTACTGCTGCCTGAACCCCACCTTCCGTCAGGAGCTGCGGCTGCTCCTTGACAGGTGCCGACTCAAACGGAGAGCCGCAGTTGGGTTAGAGCCAGAGCGAGGCCCTGTGATCGCCTGTGCTCCATGTCACAGAGCTGCGTGGCCCGACAACCATGAGTCCTCAAGGCCGAGCAATGCTTTGTCCCACCCAGGCCAGGGGTCATTGCAGCAGAGTCAGGCTTCCTCTAGTCAGAGTCACAACCTGAAAGATGCACATGTGCTATTCACAGCCAGGCAACCCCTCACTGGGAGGACGGACATCCTCTCAGTGGAACCTATTGTTGCCGTGAGATAACTAGACACAGCTGCCACTGTGCTGAGGAGTATTTAAGATTGTAAAAGACACTTGTAAAAAACATTTTTGCTCTGCTTTTCTGTTAGCTTTACCTGAAAATATCTACAGATTATAATTGTCCATCTTTTTGCACTTCTGTTTCATTGTTTTGTGCACTGTAAATCTATGGAGCATCGGTCTCAATTTTCACAAACACACATATGTGATTCATACATGCACAAGTGAAGATCCACAGAAACACAGTACAATTCATGCAAACAGAAAAAAATCCACACACACACAGTACGATTTACACAAGCAGAAAAAAACTCACACATACACACGACAAGATCCACACACACACAGCATGATTCACACAAGCATACAAGATTCACACATGCACAGCACATGATTCGCCAAAGTATTTCTGGTCCATAAACATTTATAAATTAAATCACAAAGTACTGTACCTGTGGTACTTTGTACAGAAAACGGTCCGTGTTCTGTACGGTTGTTTTTAGTTTAGTATTTCTACACATGGGGCCCAATAAAGAGTGCTAAATTACATGAATGTGTATTCATTCTGTTACTGCATTATCAGCGCTGATCTTTGTCTGTGATCATTGCTGGGGGTAAAATAGTTCCTAAGGGACACAGAGGTGTCTGACTGCAGACAGAGAGAGTGGTCCCTTTAAAACATGCTAAAAATAGTAGAAAAAGCTATGCCTATAATCACTTTCAGATCTGATAAATTGTTTTTTTGGGGTGGTATTTTTTTATATTTACATATCATCACCCAAACTTTGCATGGTTTGATCATTACAATATGATCTGCTTATTTATAAAGGCAAAAATGAAAAAAAAAAAGTTTGCAAATGCTTTAATACATGGAAACCTTTTAATGATCAGGCCTACTGTATATTTTATTTTTTTCTTTCTTTGTTTTCCCTAAATAGCTTCTGTTTGATATATATTTGATAAATATATATATATTTCTAACACCTTGCCTTTTGTTACCTTTTAGTAATGGTCAGATTTGTGAAGTGTGCAGCCTATAGCCTTCTTGTCAGCAGATTCTCCTGCAGCTAATAAAACATCTCCTTGTCTGACCTATTAAGTATATTGATTGGTATGTTGTGTCATACTCTTTTGAAAATGTATGATGGAGTGTGATCTGTCCATTGCCCATTATACCTTCACCAAGCCCTGCTTCAAGCATCTCTGTAATCTTCTCTCTGACCTCCCAAAGTTGTCTTTCTTGGTCTTTGTGAAGCTGTTTGTTCACTGATGCCTGCTAACAAACCTCTGAGGCCTTGAAAGAACAGCCAGATTTATACAGAGATTAAATTACACTCAGATGGACAGTTTAAACAAATATGAATTTAAGGAAGAAATTTCTAATTTTGTTGCTGAAATACAGTATAAAATTTCCCTTTTTTTGTTTCAGTGATGCACTAAATTTTAATTAGCAGTATGAAGAATGGTGTCTGAGTAAAAGGTGCATTCCACAGTTTTATGTTTTATTTGGAAACAAAGCTGAAAACTATACTAGCTATATTAACTATGTCAGTATATTTCTTTTTCCTTGTACATCACAAATATGCAGAACTTTGTTTTGTTCTGTTGACACAGAGATGCTCATGCTATAAAATATACTGGTCAAGGTGCAAAGTCATAGATCATACAACATGTATGTCAATAGACACAGAAGAGTAAGACATGAATGCCTCACATAGCTGCTTTTACTAAACGATGTGACTAAAAAAGTATTGGCAGCAGTGGTCTTTGGTTACACACAATTTATTCACTCATTTCTTATAAAATGTGTCATTCCATTTCTTAACTATTTTGCACACAACAACAAATTTTCTCTGTATGCATTTGCTAATTTTTTCAATTACCTCAACCTCATACTGCTGCCTGTTCTTTTGCTTATCCTTGAGTGAATGCATTTTGCCTTAAAGGCGTCAAGAATGAGCTCGCTGAAATTACAGCGCCTGTTTTCTCACATGCTGCCTCAGTTCATCAAGCGCCCTGCTGCTTCAATGCCTCCATACCACTATGTTCAGTGTTACTGCTTATGTTGATATGGCTTGGATGCCACTACAAGGGTGTATGTAGAGGAACAAATGTAAATTACACTGTGACTACTAGGAAATGAAAAATATGCAACTAGGGTCACCGGCTGTAAATGATGCAAGGAAAAGGATGTATGTAGTTCTTGACTATAATGGTTTATAAAGTCATGTGAAACTGAAAGTCTTTATAAGACTTTGTTTTTAGGGGGAGGAAGATCCTTTCTGGAAAAAAAAAAAAAAAACTCATTACTGTTTTTGGCTAGATACAGAACAGGAAGATCCAGAATCTTAGAAAAAATTGTGTTCTAATGACTGGAGGTTATTTTCCTAATGCCTATAGGATTTAAAAGCCTCCTTTGCAAAACAAAAAACAAAAAAACATATATATCTATATATATATATAGATATATATATATAGATATATAGATATATAGATATAGATATATAGATATACATTATTTTATTTTTTTGAGCGGCATAGTTAGAAATATTGGTTATACAGATACAGCCAAATGATCTCTCTTATTATCAGACAACTTACTCTTTCTGTATCCCCTACTATTTTATAGTTACAGAATGTAAAACCAATTTAGGCATATATTCATTTAAAAGTCTGGGGCCTCAGAAATCCATAAAAGATACAGTGGAGGATTTTTGTAAAGTTGGTGGAGCCCAGATTTTTGCGTTGTAGGACTGGTTCAGAATCTAATGGTTTATTGTGAGAATTTAGCTGTCCCGTTTTTTTGGACCACAATACTGGAAAGAAGAAAGTGGCACATTATGCAGAATGTGATCCAAAAAGCTTTTTAATGAAAATGACTATAACACATTGCATTGTTATGAATGCAAAAAAGTACAATTGTTTTTGTGGTGTTGTTAGCTTTAACCTTTTATCTCAATTATTAAGCTTACATGTCAAAAATCAAACAGGACATGCATTCAGCCCTCTTCAAGAGGGGAGGCGGCACAACATTAAATGTTTAAAAAATTTGTTTCAAGGTCCCATATTATTCTACATTTAAAAGTAAAAAAATATCAACGATGAGGCTCCTAGAGCATGTTTTTGCCATTTGTAAAGGAAAATTCCTTTCATATTTGGGACATGTTCTTGACCAAAAATCTCCTTATTCAGCCCTCCTCTGAATGAGCTGTTTTGGCATTCCACACTCCTGTCCTCAAGGCTGTGCCTCAACAAACTGCAACTATGACAACCAGTCAGTGTTCGTAAAGATAGACTAGGAGCACAGATAAATACTTTAGATCAGGGGTCACCAACCTTTTTAAGGCTGAGGGCTTCTTCATGGCTACCGAGTCATAGGAAGGGCTACAAATACTGACCTATGAACTGGAGGGATCAGTGTTCACCTACAGTAAATCTCATCCATAAAAACAAATTTTTATTCTTATTTTATTCTTTTATTCATTTCTAATTTTCTTTTTAAAATTGTCATTTTGAAACCACTGAAATATGATGAAATAGTTAACATAATGAAATAATACATAAATGATTAAAAAGAAGAGCAACAGAATAAAAAAAAAATTAAACTTAACCCACTGAGTGAGTTCTTCTGTTTTCAGAAGACGAAGAGGGCCCCCCATCTGGTCCTTGAGGGCCCCTTGGTGCCCGCGGGCACTGCGTTGGTGACTTCTGCTTTAGATGAATGCTGTAGCTTGACCGATGGGCTTCTACAGACTGCTATCGAAAGCTCCTTTCCCCTTATGATATCATAAAAGGAATTATTTCAAACAGAGCATTTTGAGCACACATTAACTGATGTGAAAGGATTTTATTTCATTTGTCAACATCATACACAGGCTTCAGGACATATATGACAGTTACAAAATGTTTGTAAAGTGAATTTTGCATAATATGGGACCTTTAAAGGATTTAATGTGTGCATGTAAAACAGTTTGAACGCACAAACGCTGTCATGCGTGTGGTAAGTGGAAGTGGAGAGTAACCAAACAAACTAAAAACTAAAACTTATTCACAGGAGCACGGTCCAACTGCCCTTCCTGTAGCATGGAGGAAGAGTCTAGAACAGGAACACCGCTGCCAGCAATGTCTTGGGCAGCAGCGTCTTAAACAAACAGGAGCAATATTTTGCTACCAACCTGCTTTATGTGGATGATTAGGCAGGCAGGGCCACTGCTCATTCACCTAGAGAAACGACAAGGAACACCTGACACTAATGAGGAAGGGGTAGGAGACGCCAATACAATATGCTTAACAGCAATATTCGAAAAAAGGTCTGTAGCCAGAACTATCAGGTTTATAATTATAAAGTTAAATTCTAAATCTCCAATACTGATGACATGTTTGATATTGTCTGGTTTCTGACTATTTTCTGAGATTTTTTTTGTTATTTAATCCCTGAGAAGCTTCAGCAGTTGTACCATGGTTACATGCAAGCAGTAAAGGTTGGAACATTTTTATCTCCTATTATACCTCCAGATGCGTTAGATAAATTAGCTTGTTTTGAGGCTTAATTTTAATTTCAGACAATAGTTAGAGAGATACAACTGAAAAACTTAAAGCAGTAGTGAGTAAAATTAAACATTAAAATGTTGTTTTCTGAATGCCTTTGATGGTAATTAAGTGTTCGTGAGACGATTAGGGGTTTGGCATCTTCCCCTCTGTTTCTGGACAGAGGGGCATATGTTAAATAGTGATATACATAGAGATTTTTAAATTGTTAAAAAAAAAAGGCTTATGAAGAGTTTAATTTAACTTTTTTTTTTTAATTAGACATCGTGCTGATGAAGATTCCCAGTCATCCAGGTCATAGTCATTCCGTAAAAGTTCAAAAAATATCCACTGGACTTGGTTTCCAATATTTGAAGATGTTTCGCTACCTCTCCAGGAAGCTTTCTCAATTCAAATGTCTGGATCCGCAGTGAGTTTGGGTCTTATATAGACAATGCCTTGTATCGCTTGGAAACATGCAAATGGTAACCGATGAATGGGTCGTTTGGTTCCATTGTT